TGAGCTCTGTACCCATCCATCTGTTTGCTTGTTTAAACTTTCCCAGAACTGTGTTGAATAAGTTAAACTCTTTAATGGCCCAATTTATTTGGTCTAATAAGAGGGATGTTCATAAGAGACATTGGGTTTCTTGGAGAAATGTATCAATGCCTAAGGAGGAAGGGGGTCTGGGTTTGAGGAAGTTTGAAGAGGTGCAGATGGCTTTTAGAATGAAGTAAGTCTGGGGATTGATACAAGGGAATTCCTTGTGGGCTAAAGTTTTTGCTTCTAAGTTTTTTGAAAGGAAAACATGTATTGAGAAATCTTGGTAAGAGTCATTTTAAATGTTGTGAACTGTTGAGGCCTTATTTCAAACACGTGGTGGATCATTCTAAAGTTGTGGCGGGCAGTGGTAACCACACTGATTTCTAGTGTGATAACTGGTTAGGAAATGGCAATAACTGGTTAGGAAATGGCCCTTTATTGAATAGAATTGATGTTTGTCTTCAGTTTTTTCCTAAGCTGTTTGAGTTGCTGGGTACTCAATGGCAACTTAGTGGGGGTGGAAGAGTTGTTTTCATAGTAGATGGTGCAGGAGGTTGTGAGTTCTGGTGTGAGATTAACTGAGAAGGCAGATAGGGTGGTGGCAGGGGTCAAATTCTGGAATTTTTTCAGTTAAATCTTCTTGGCAGATGTGTAGGCAGAGGGGAGAGAAAGAGGCAACTATTGATCTGATTTGGAGTGTTAGAACTGCACCTAGTGCTCAATTAATAGGGTGGAGAATTCTAAAGGATGCTCTTTCTATGGATTTGAATGTGTAGAAGCTTGGTATTCCAGTTGTGAGTAGATGTTCTCTTTGCTTTCAACATATTGAGAGTTCTAAGCATTTGTTTGTTGGATGCCCTTATGTTGTTGCTATTTGGAAGTGGTCTGCTGGTTTTATGGGCTTTCAATTAATTGAAGGTGAATCCTTTGGTTAGATTTAAAAGATTGGGGAGGATTTTTAAGAAGTCTTATGTGGTTCATGGCCTGGTTAGGAATGTGCCTTTGTTGGTTTATTGGCAAATTTGGAAGGAGAGATGCAAGAGAGTGGCAGGGGAAGGTGTTTTGAGTTCCTACTCCTTATGCCTTAGAATCTGCAGTATCTTGAGCTTTCAAGGGAGGAATGTTAAAGTCAAGGTACAGGATTTGAGTAAAGACTTATGCATCTTGAAATGGCTTAGGGTCAAGGTTTCTTTTAATGTGGTCACTAAAGCTAATTGGATTTGTTGGGAGAGGCTAGGGGCTGAATGGTTGAAACTCAATGTTGATGGGGCTTCCAAGGGGAACCTAGGGCCAGTAGGTGGAGGGGCTGTGTTGAGAAATGAGGAGGGAGATGTGGTATTAGCAAGCTCCTTTTATTATGGGGAGGTTTCTAATATGGTGGCTAAATTCAAGGCTCTTTTGGATGGCTTAAGATTGACAAGAAGCCATGGTTTGGAGGAGCGCAAAGCTTTAATTGAATCAAATTCCCTTGTTCTGGTCAATGCTGTATTGGGGAAAGGTTGCTGTGGATAATATTGCTTGAGTTTTTTGGGACAAATAAAGGAGTTGTTGGGTTTGTTGGATTATCAGCTGCATCATGTGTTCAGGGAATCAAATATGGTGGCAGCTTAGCAAATAAAGCAGTGCTGGACAGAGGCTCCTCTGATCTATCTGATGCTAATAGGCTGACTTCTGTAGTAAGGGTGTTGCTGTTGCAGGATCAAAGAGGGTTCCCAGTGTTGCGTACTTGGAGAAAATTATTATGTGTTTGCAGAGAAGATTCAGATCCTATTTAGAGCAGGAAAGACCATTTTTTGACTGATGCAAGATGTTGTTCCATAGTCTATGTCTTTAAATAGATTTTTTGTTGAAAATTCTTTGCCTTGAAAGACTAAAGCCAAAACTAGCCTTGTTGTTAAGCTTTGCTCATTTTGTTTCTTGTAATTTGGGATTTTATCAATAAAATTTTTCCCTATTCTTTTAAAAAAAACCCCTTAATTACACTAAAATCTCCTTTTATTTCTCTTATTCACACAAACAACCCATAATTCAAAGCACTTAATGATTTACACCCAAGTGTCTCGACATTTTAATAAAATCTCATCCATACTCTTTCTATCTCATTGAAATTCGACAATAAAGTTCTTTAGTTAAAAGCATATCTAACTATTCAAAGTTTAGTTTTCACAATTTTAACTCTACACAAATACTAATAAATTGCACTTTGACTCATCATATTTATGAAATGCAATGTTATGCATGCTCGGATCTCATAATAACCCTTAAACACTGCCAAAATACCTCCACCACCACTAGGGTCTACGTCTTGGGTTTGGGTCAGGACTCCCTAGTTGCTAGTTTGGGGGCCTAAGGTTGAGTCTTTGATCCTAGATTCTTTTATGGTCTAAGGTCCTAGGGTCAAGTTATAATGTGTGAGGAGGTCCTAGACCCAAGTTTGTGGTCTTGTTCCAAGGCATGGGGTTCGAAGTTCAAGCACATGCCGCACTTAAATCGAGGTTTAAGTCTTGTGTTTTTGCATAAGGGATCCAAGTCTTGAGTCTAGGCTTAGGTCTCGAATTCGGGCCATGGATTCGAGGTCTGATGTTCCTTGGAAGGATCTTTGGTTAATTGCTTGGAGTCTAGGTCTAGGGTTCCAAGTCCTAGGTTTGGAGGTCCCAGGCCATAGGTCCCTATTCCAGCCCATGCTCTTGGGTTTCAAATTCCCAAGTCTCGAGTACAGAGTTTGGGTATGAGTCCAGGTTTCGGTTCGAGGTTCCAAATTTGCAGTACAGGGCATGGGCCCATGGCCTTGGTTCTTGGATACCGGGTATAGGGTCCCAAGTTCGAGTCATGTGACTAGGATCTAGTATTTTGTATCCAGGTATCAAGTATGGGTAATCCACATCTCTGGTCCTTGGTTCAAGATTCAGGGTCCTAGGTATTGAGTCCTAAGTCTTGAGTCCAAGTACGATGTTCAGGTTCAACTTCACAGTCGAGGTCTTGGGTTTAATGTCTTGGGGAGAGGTCTAGAGTTTGGGGTTTGGAGTCCAAGGTCTTAGGTCCAAGATCCTATATGTGGATTTCAAGTCAAGGTCTAAGGTTCTAGTGTGTGGTTTGCATCTTAGGGTTGATGAATTAAAATATAGTTGTTGATGGTGCGCGGATATATTAGCCCAAGTCCAGAACCGTGGCCAGTTGGCCCAGAGAAGATGCAAAACAAGTATATGGGCCAGAAATGGATGACGATGTGAAAGAAGAGCTAGAACGTAGTGTAAGTGGTTAACTTTACTCGAAGGATTAAGGCTACGTCCACAGTTGGGGAATCTCTTGCTCCTGGGGGTTGTATATTACTTGAAATAGGTTATTACAATAGTATTGTTGGCTCAGGGCCTTTATAAGAAAATGCTTAGATAATGCAACTTGTCTGTGTAGATGACTTAAGAGTGTAGTGAGGAAGATAATCATCGTATCTACTGTTGTGTAATAATGTCTTATTTATACAAGTGATTTTTCTAGAGTTTTCTGTGGCTCCTTCTTCCTTTCTGCTGATTTTGTGAACCCTTCTACTCTTGTCCTGTAGCGACCTCTGTCACATGACGTCACTGCACCCACAGTCCTTGAGCGGTTACGCACACCAATATTCTATATGGCAGAGAGTGCGTCTTCGTTATGGGTGTCAGAAGTGATCCATCTGTCCTCAGGGCACGTGGCATGATGGGAGTGCTTCAGGATAGACATTGGGCCGCACTCCTTTAACCCGAGTTGATCTCTAGTTGAGTTGGATAGGGGCTGAGCTGGACTTCAAGCCTTCTAGTACTGTTGGGCTTTATCATTTGGGCACGGTCCATTCTATTCTTGTCGTGGACAAGCTGCGGGCGATCCATTTAGGCTACTGTACAAGTAGAGGCCTCCCAGGCTTATTGGTCTCTTGACTGTGGCGGCTCATACCCAAAATCTCATCATTATCAGTTGTCATTATTTTAATTTCAATACGAGTATGTTGATCAAATTTTATATTATTTAAGTTAAAAGATTTATTTATTCAAACTTCAGAATGTATTGTTGCAATGTTAGTCGTACATCATAATGGTTATATACATTCTATGTTCAGTTCATTCTCACTCAAAAATATTGTTGCATATCAAACACAACATAAATCTCTAACCATGATCAAGATAAACTACGCTTACTTACACCATGACCCCGGTAGGGTCGGCTTAACCACAGTGGTGCTGCCCCTGTCTCCCCTCTACATTTTTTTTTTTGGTTTGGAATCAACAGAAAAAAGAGAGAGAGAGAGCTTTGTACCTTTTAATTTGTCGCCTTTCTATAAGAGAATTTTTGAAGTGGTGTGTCCATCTTGGACTCTATTCTACTTTTCACCAATGAGAAAGCTCAAGGTGTGAGATCTGTGGCCAATCTCAAATTATGAGGAACTGGATGATTGGAAATGGTGAAAATTTTGCTACGTGATTAACAACTCATAATATTCTTAATTTTTTTCTCTTATCTTCAAATACACGTGTTAGATTATGTATAGTGGAAGCAACAATCTTGGCTTGGTTACAAAACAAACTTTCTATTTTTTCAAGCTCTATATTATATGTATGCTTGTATTAATATATACTCATACAATAATTAGCTTGTAACTGAAGAAAATGCATAGAAAAAGACAAGATATGGAGTCAAAGACAAGACGACCACCTCTCCCTTTCCAAACCGTTTTCTACTCGACTCATCAACCAACACCCTACCCTCCCTCTCTCTCTCTCTCTCTCTCTCTCAATTCCCCATTTCTAAGCAAACCCCACAACCATCACAATCATCATGAACATCATTTCTATTCGATGAAGCCTTTCTCTCTCTCCCTCCCTCTCACCCGCGCACATATTCTTTTATGGGACTATTGTACCACCTCTCTATATAAAGTCATCACTCCTTCACATCATTACAGTTGGGCGAAAAGAACCCTCCAAGGGAAAGATCAAAGTCTGAAAATGAGGAAGCCAGATTTTTCTGGGAAGAACAATGTGAACAACAATGGAGCCAAGCTAAGGAAAGGTTTGTGGTCACCAGAAGAAGATGATAAGCTCATGAACTACATGCTCACCAATGGACAAGGCTGCTGGAGTGATGTAGCAAGAAATGCTGGCTTGCAAAGGTGTGGAAAGAGCTGTCGTCTTCGGTGGATTAATTACTTGAGGCCTGACCTCAAACGAGGCGCTTTTTCACCCCAGGAGGAAGAACTCATCATCCATCTTCATTCCATTCTTGGCAATCGGTCTGCTCTCTCTCTCTCTCTTACTACACACACACACACACACACACGCGTACGTAAACACAACCTGAATGCATTGTATCATTCATGTTTGCGTTTTTACAATAGAACCCACCTGACCTTTTTGAGCTTCCTTCAACTTCCCTCCGTTTATTCACTTCCGTCTGATAGAATTATATAAAAAGGGCGGCTCACCCCTCGTTACTCCCGGGAATATCATAGAGATACCGCAGATTTACTATTACTAAATTAATGACCCACCCTAACCTATATTCTCATCAACTACGTGGATTATTAACACCCACTAACATTACTAGGTGTGTATTAGTAACTCCGGTAACGAAATTAGGATTATTAAGAAAAATCACGTTTATACTAGTGAAAACATTTGACTATTCAGTTGAATACATACAGTATCTTCCCTTGTTTAATTTTCAGCTTTCTTCATTTAGAAGTGTCATGATTATCCTAATTACGACTCAATTGTTATACTTATTCTTCTTTTTCAAGTGTACAGTAACAGAGACACTAGGAAATATTGTTTTGCGATATGCCCCTGCTTATAACCTACATAATTTAATATAATTCCATGACATTCCTAGATTCCCATTAATAAGAACAAAACTATGCGTTATTTATTTCTTTTAATCTGGAAACCTAACCAAATTTCCACAATTGAAGCATAAAGCTAATTTGACCAGTGCAGAGTGATTGTTAAAGGTTAAAGGAAGTATCCAATTGGGGTCATGATGGCCACTATATTTGGTAATTATAGTATCCTGTGCGGTCATTTTTGTCATCATGATGCCATAGAAGATGGGGAGTTGTGATGTTATTTGCTTTTTCTATTCCTTCTTTGAAATTGAGCAAAAGAAAGAAAAATGAAATATATCAAAAAATAACATATTTCGGTGGTTGGACTTTGTTACATAATCGTATTTGTATTTATGATCGATGTTATTTCATTTCTCATTAATGAGTGAGTTACTTTGATTCTCGTAAATTGGGTATATCATGACAATAGATTGCATATAAACTTAATATTTTATAAAAGTTGTATAAAGTGGTTACTCTTTCATTGAAATTAGAAACGGGGATATTTAGGATGGTGGACCATGGGCTCCCCAAGTTTTTGAAATTGCATTTTTTTCCCCTTTCATCCTTTGCAGTTTTTCAAGCTTTCTCCCCAAAAAATATATTCCTTTCAGTATAATCCCTCTAAATAGTATCTTATTAAATATTTCTCTACTCTTCATTTAGTCCGTAGTTTTGAATTTGATTTTATTTCTGGATTAACATCCCCTGTTGATCGTGGTCAATTCATTTAACTCACATTTCAGGAGACAGGAGTATTTGTGCATATGAACGTGTGTGTGTGTGTTTGTTTATGTGCTCTAGTCTAGACTTTCTAGTAGTATTTCTTCAAGAGGTAGAAGGGTGAAAAGGACATTGGCATCATCACTGTTGGTTTGTCTACATCTGCACTTGGAGTTGAAGATACTCCACATACCAAGTCAATCTTTTCTTTAACAGCTAAGCTTCCATGCAAACCATGCATTTAATTTTCGACAACATACAAAATTTCCTCTTCCCCACCTACGATTGTAGCTAAAGTATGCTCATTTCTTCTCTTGCCTTTTTTCCCTTCTCAAAGGTGGTCTCAAATCGCAGCACGCTTGCCGGGGCGCACTGACAATGAAATCAAGAACTTTTGGAACTCAACAGTAAAGAAGAGGCTTAAGAATTTATCTTCCACACCCTCACCAAATACAAGTGATTCATCATCGGATCCAGGGGGTCTCGTGGGAGGAGGGCTCATGTCCATGCGGGAACAAAACATTATGGCTCTCTACATGGACTCATCATCCTTGTCATCGTCATCGACAAAAGCAAGGGCTCTGAATCGTCCCATGGACATCGACCCCTTGTCTATGTTTGATAACAGCCTAACTATGTCTGCTCCAAGTGGATCATACTTAAATGCACCACAAGTTGAAATGAACCCTAATACGTTCTATGAGAATTACAGGATGTTTGGTGGCAATATTGGGGTGGAAGGAGAGCCGTTAGATCTCCCCCCTGAGAGCATAAGTATTGAAGGATGTGCAAAAACCGAATATTTTTCAGATACAAACACTAATAACATCACTGTCAACACTATGAACAATTTATTCATCAAATACTGCAACAGCAGCAACATCAACGACAACCACAATAACAAGAACATCAAAGTAGAAAACATAGGTGGGTTAAACAATTACTTTGAAGGAGACGACCAAAGAGTACTGGGGGACTGGAACTTGGAGGAATTGATGAAGGATGTTTCCTCCTTTCCATTTCTTGATTTCCATGTCGAATAATCGGTTTCCCTTCCGATTTTTTGTTTTTTTCCCTCCTTATTTCTTTTCCATTCAAAGGGAAACCCTCTTTCTTTTCTTCAAAAACTACCAAAACCCAAGTCACAGTTCTTTAGCTTCAAGAAAAACTTAGTTTTGTTGGGTTATAACTAGGTCACCTCAAGCTTCTATTCTGACAGGAAAGCAACTCCACTGCTTGGATGGTGTTGAAGATCTGGAATAAAGGTCACTCACGAGTAGATATATTTGTGGCCATGTAATTCTTGTATAGATGTGTGCATGTATATCTTATCGTGCTGTAAGGCAGTAAGGCACTTGGGCTATTTCCAGTTAATTCCAAATGTCTATAACAACAATGAAACTTTTGGAGAGAGATGTGAATAGTGATAGAAACGTAGAGATCGGCTGTTGTACTGTATTGTAGTTGTTATGAGATTGTAGTTATTGCTGGATAAGATTGTCAATCACTTTTCTCTTCAAGACTGTGGAATAATGTCCTGTATTCCCGTCCGAGATATGTACAAAACAACTTGGGACTGTCTTATAGTGGGAGATTACCTTATGTACTACACATTGATGAATATAAAATCTCTCTCTTTCTCTCTCTTCAATTGATTTTGCAGTCTTCATTGTCTTGATTACTTATTATCATTCTGCTTTAGAAACAGATTAACGATCATTGTTTCTTGTAATGGGGTTTAATCTCCTTGGCGATATGCCCACTTGGGAGATGAATCACAATGGAAAGAGGAAAAAGTCAGCTTGCTCTTATCACAATTTGTACTTTCTAATTCTAAAATCAGTTAGTTAGGCTGAAGGATTAGATTCTAAGAGTAATGATCACGCCTTTTCCTTTCTTCACCATTTCCCAAGATAGCAACACAAGTCATTTTATACAGAAAAATAATCAGTGCGAAGAGAAAGTATGGCCATGGTAATGAAGAACTTTGTGCAAAAAGAAGCTAAAAGAAAGTCCTCAGCAAATGACAATATGCATTTTATTTATGCAAGAATACAAGGTGACCACTTTCATTTGAAAGACAGATGGAATGATTGCATGTCTAAATAATCATTTCACCTTTGAGATTTTTCACATGTAATAACTAATTTATATGACTATGTATTATTTATCTAGAAGGTTGTTATTTTTGTATAGGAAACGATGACGGATGCTTAGGTGACTTAAGTATGCAAATATTAGAGTTTGTTTCAAGCCGATATAATAGCAATTCCCAATTTAGTATGAGTTTTATGAATCTCTTCAGTTATTACCAATTAATTTTGGAATAGATGTTTAACATAATTTTAAAACCAGCTTTTAGGCCTTTTTGCCAAGTCTTCCGATTTAATTTCGCCCGTGCTTTCGCAGTTGATCCCCTTGATTTGTATATATGAATTTTATTACATCTTCTACCTAGCCCTCAATATTTGATTGTGGATCGCAGGAGCGGGGAGTATTTGAGCTTGCCCTACATCGATATATAATAATTCTCAGACTAGCCTATATATGAGTTTTATGGGTCCCCCGACTCATTATCAATTATTTTCAGTTGAATATTTTAACAAAAATGAAATCAAATTGCTTGACAACTTATGCACTACAAGAGAATAGGGATATGTCATTGTTGGTAGGTATTTTTTTGAATCTTTATGATTCTTTCATTTACACCCTCTAGGATTTTCAATTCAGATGCAATTTATTATTTCTAAGCCTATTATTAAAGTTTCATGCTCTACCTGATTGTTTGACAATACTATTGACTCATACAACTGATAGGCATATTGAAATATTTTGCCTTCAGGGGATAATTATATTATTCCAGCCCATACTCCTTTAGTTTTGGAGCTATCAAACATTAACCTCCATGCTGTTAGGTTAATATAAACAACTTCGTATGTGTCATCCTCTATGGAAACACTTGGATAGTCTGCTAGGAAATTCGTCAATACTTGATCTTTAACTGCCTTTTGAGGCACAAATTGAAGACAATATTCTATTAAGGCAAGAATTCATTTTCTCATTCTGCCTCATAGGATTTTCTGGTTAGCATATATTTGACCAAATCAATCTAAGCAATGATGTAAATAGTAAATGACAATAAATAATGCCTCAATTTTATTGCTGAAAAGTACAAGGCTAAACACAAATTTTCTATTGAGAAATAATTACTTTCAACATTGTTCAACCTCTACTTAGATAGTAAACTGTTTACTTATGACCTTACCATTGTCTTGTTCAAGTAGGCTGCAAATGGATCCCTCTCCTGCAGAGATATACAACTTCAATGGCTTGCCTTTCTTAGGTGGCATTAATATTGCAAAATTTACCAAGTATGCTTTGATTTCTTTAAAAGCTTTCTAATGTATTGCTTCCCATTTGAACTCTGGCTCTAATTTCAACCTTAAAAATGGTGAAAAAGTCAATATTTTCCTTACAAGTTTAGATATAAACCTCTTTAGGAAATTCACTTGACCAAAAAATCTCTACAATTCCTTCTTATTTGAAGGTGACTGAGCCTTTATGATGGCTTTAGCCTTGTTTTTGTCTATCTCAATTCCCCTTTTTTGGACTAAAATCCTGGGAAATTGCAGAGATTCCAAATGTACACTTAAAGGATTCATTTTTAACTTGTGCATTCTCATCATCTGGAAAGGTTCTTGAAGGTTTTCCAAGTGTGATTCTTGGTCATCATATTTGATCACCACATCATCAATGTAAACTTTCATCAAATTTTCTATCATGTTATGTAAAATCAAATTCATAAACATTTGATAAGTGGCCCTTTCATTCTTAAATTTAAATGGCATTACAACCCATTTGGTGCACACAGAGAAAGAGAGAGAGAGAGAGAGAGCAGTTGGTTGTGGTTGAGGTGGGCAATGGACACAACCGTTATCAACAATTGTGACGGGTAACAGACTCGTTAAATAGTTGTCTTGGTATCCCTTGGCAGTCTATAAATACCATCTTTGCTCATCGAAGAAACCACTTGAATTTTCTATATGCTTTCGGTTATAACCTTGCCCGTCATAGTTGTTTTCTCTCCAAGCACATGTGATCGACAAGCTAATGACATTTTACCACCGTTTGGATACACGTCTAGGACCATCAATGATTACATGATTTTTTTCTCTCTTTAATAGTCTTTTTCCCCTTAATTGCATATCTCATTTATTCATTTCTTGTTTTCTTAATTTTTGTCAGTCTAAAGTACCAATTAATTTCACATGAAAGTTTCTAGTAATTTTGAAAAGTAAATCCTACAATATTCCTTTTTAAAAGATTATGAGATTATACTCTCTTATTTTATTTAGGATTCAATGACAGCGACATATTCTCCACAATGACACGAGTCATTAGTGACAGCCCTACTCAGGGTATAGAATCAATTGAATAAGAATATTTAACCCTTGGTGGGGCATTGGGCTACGCCTTCATTAATGACGACGCCAGAGGGAAAAAAGGAGGCTCAGGCGACGAGGCTTCGATCTAGGCTGTGTGGGCCACGCTAGCATGCCAGGCAGCGCCAGTAAGAGCAACGCCAGGTTGGACGATGCCTTGCAGGCACTAGGCATTGATGCTGGCTAGCAGAGGATGTGGACACAGCTGGAGAGACAGTTTAGGCGACGCCACGCTTTGCTACTAGCATTGAGATGTTGGGAAATCGATGTCCTGGCATGCTGGGCAACAGTGCTTGGTAGAGTAGTAGATAATCTTGAAAAAGTGACCAAACTTCAAACGACCATAACTTTGTGTTTGGTTGTTTGTTTGAGGTGATTTTTTTTATGTATCCGAGTATTTTTTTTTTTTTTGAAATATATGACATACAAACCACCTTTGGCGATTTGGGCACCAAATTTCTCCAAAAAATGTTTATTTCTCATAGAATTTGAGTTTTAAACACAAATTAGTGAAACTGACTGCAGTGGGAAGTTGCGCTCTTATAGGTAGCTGTCAAGCGTTCATGGGCGACAGGTTGGCATTTTGTGTTTTGCTAGAAAGGGAGACTGATGAATTTCAGCTAGGTAGGAGGCAAACCCACTTTCTCCTTAACATTTTCTTGATGTTGGTTCTTTATATTGACTTTGTTTCTAATCTTAGGCACTTTGTTGATAGAGCGATGGTGGAGACTCTCTATGCTTTTAGGGTTCTGTCTTCCTATCCTCCTAAGAGGGTGAAGGCCAATGCCTCCAGTATCTCTCAACGGTTAGAGAGCCATGCTATATCCTGGGAGGCTAGATTAGAGGGTGCCCCCAATTTTTCTCAGTACACAGTTCCTTCAAGTATTAGGGTCAATTCAGCCAATACTTCGGGAGTTGAGACTCTTGTGCGGCCTTCCGTCTGGACTAGAGCTCCACGTTGTGGTTCAGTGTCTATGTTGTTTTTTCCTACCTTTTTTCAAGAACGATCAAACTTGGAGAGGTATATAGGGATCTTGGCAAAAGAGAGGTCGGTACGACAGGCTGTTGAGAGACAGTTAAGGTTGGCTCATGAGAAAGTAATACTTCTTAAGGCCAAGGTTTTGGTGACTCATGCTAAGCTGGAGACTGAAGCTGCTTCAAAGCAGAGGTAAAAAAAGGTCGAGCTTTTGGAGACTCGTGAGAGAAGCGCTAAGCTGGGAATTGAGGTTGCTTTAGAGCAGTGGTAGGATTAGACCAACCTTTCTGGCGACTTGCGAGAGAGCGCGAAGATGGAGACATAGATTGCTTGGGAGCAGAGGCAGGATTAGGTCAAACTTTTTGGTGTCTCGCGAGAGACCGTGAAGCTAGAGACATAGACTTCTTGGGAGCAGATGTAGGATTAGGCTGAGCTTTCTGGCGACTCGCGAGAGGGGCGCTAAGCTGGAGAAATTGATAAGAAGACTGTCTGCGCGATAGCAAAGTTAGGGTTGAGGCTGAGTTACGTATAACTCAAGAGAGGATTGTCGTGGCAAAGCCTCATTCCATTGAGATGAAGATGAGGAGGGAGGCTTTCTGAGAGGGCCATTGTAGACGTCTTTATTGATGGTTATGAAGAGTTTAGGGGAAAAGCCTTAGCAGTTTTTCCTACTATTGATTTCTCTGACTTCGTCCCATATGAGGCCCTAGGAACAGATGGAGACGGGGAGAGCCTTAATGAGAACGGATCAGGGAGCAGTGAGTGATTGTTAGGAGTATGTCGATTTTTATCTTTTTATCTACCTTGTTGTTCTGATTTTTGTAAGCTATTTACATTTTTTATGAAATTAAAGCAACACAGTTCTGGATACAATAATCTTGACAAATTTTTATTTCATAAAATAATAAATGATAAAATAAATCAACTGAAACAATACATGACAAATAAAATGAGAGCCACCGGCTAGTAACCGCTATTGATAATAGCTCTTCAGGTGCTCGACGTCCCATGGATGGGCCAAGGCTTCCTTGTTCCCAGTGTCTTGTCATTCCTAGAGTCAAACACTTTCACTTAGAGTGCCTCTAGGGGTTTCTTGGTCCTCATAGAGGCCACGTAGCATTCTTTGGCAGTGACTTGGTCTCCTTTAACTTCTCCGATCCCACAGAGAGTTGGGAAACAAAGAATAAGGTGACAGGCGAACGGTACTGCCCTTAGGGTGT